GTATGCAGCAAAAACATTAATTAAACAAATAGGGGGGGGGGGGGGGGCAGGTACGTGTAGTCTTGGCTAGGGCAGCACAAAACCTAAATACATCACAGCCCTCAGTTAAAAAAAAATGTTTTACATTATTATCTCTACATCCGAGGATTAGATTAGATTAGATTAGATAGATAAGATAAGATAAGATAAGATAGGCAAGGCATCTCGAAGATGGAAAATTATGGTTAAACATAGCAAATATTTAAAAATGCTCCGTTCCCTAGAAGCAAAAACATTTTTCTGAAGCTGTGTTACTAAGGGGTTAAGGAAGGTCTGTAAACAGTATACAGACATTAGGATTTATTCTACTGACTTATTGCTTTTTGGTATGGATTGGCCACAACAGATCAAAAGGCTAAAACGGTTGGCCTCAAAGTAAACCTTCCCACAAGCCAGTAAATATACTGGAACCTTCCAAATCAGCCGTTTTGATGCCTTTTGCTGAGAAAGTATAAAGATTAACTAGCACTAGAGCATTCCAGGTCATGAGACTAACATTAGTGACAGTTAACAAAGTCACAAATACAGGAGAAGGGGACAAAAAAAAAAATCAACAAATACCATTACTCTCGGACACTCTCCTTGGAGGAGTAATAGGCACACTCTCAGTCACAGATCTCTGCAAAGAAACAGCATGGGGGTTAGTAAGGTGTAAAGACAAACCCAAAAAAAACCATCACAATAAAAAAACACAAATACCATTCATTGGGCTGGTATTACCTTTTCACTATCAAGAGAGGAACTGGAAAGGCCAGGACTTGGTGGGACATTCTCTTTTTGGTTTATCATATCATTGCAAATCCCTTTCACATCATTCTGTTAAAAAAAAAAAGGGGGGGGGATTTAAAACATTTACCCAACATCAGTGAACAATAGCCGTAGTACACAATAGCAGAAGTCACCATTCACTGGGTGGACAAAGGTGGGCTGTATCACTTGCTAGCTTCCAATGCCTTTTGAAGGCAATCAGCAAGGTTCCTTCCCCTCCCACAATGGTTTGAGTTTCCACCCGCTTTCCACATAATTGTGGACAATTAGTCGGTTACCTAGATTCTAGTAGTTTTTAGTCTACGTAGATTATGGAGAAACTGCTGGAACGGAAAATCAGTTTGTGTCCCAAGCAGTTGAAAGCCAATGTCACTTCCAATTGAGATGCCCACTGGAGTCCCCGAGATGTAAAACAACCAAATGGGTGAAGCTGTGCTTTCCTTTAATGCCCTGTAGATCTTAAAGAATTGTAATTGAATACAGAACCGTTTTGTCCATAGATCCTGGTCGTTCAGCTGCATATCAATTTCTGTTCTCCCCTCCAGAAGTAAAAAGAATACCCGCTACTTGTGGGTATGGAGGAGCATTTACTCAATTCTCCTTTTCTCAGAGTCCAGGAACCAAGTGGCTGAGCCTATTCTCCCATAGGAACTGAAGGCACTGCATTGGGGATCCGAGAGGCACTTGGCTCAAGTGTCTTACCTTTTGAACTAGATTGTCAATAGCTTATGCTTTAAGTGTAATGTATGAGATTTTGCTTTTTATCATTCCTAAGACATGATTCTATAAAAAGTAAAATAAAACCTAACCTAGATTAACCTTTTTCTATTCAACCCCAATAGATGGACACTTAGTATGTTGGCACACGCACCCTTGCCTGCTTTTTGTTATGGAGGGGCTATGTACATTTAAAAAATAACAGATTCCAGATAAAATATTTGTGACAAACACATTGGAAACATTTCAATGAATTCCTAACTGGAATAAAGTGTGTTTATATTTCCCATTAGTTCTGCTTTAACCTTCAGCTATAACAATGTCATGTTCTGGAGGCACATCACTGCTCAGATGGGTTTTGGTGACTTGCTAGAAAACAGTAGGCCACAGGGGACAAAAAGAGGGCAAGCATGTCATGCTCCAATAATTCCCAGGGGCTCAGGGACTGGGAATTTTCTGGTGTAAATTAAATGCAATAATGGTATTTGGGATCATTTGTCAGCACGGTGACAAATGTGGCAGGAAGAACAGCTTCATACCAAAAGGGACCATTTAACCTTTCCATTGTAGAATCACATTGGTCCTACTCTGTAAGGAAAAAAAGGGATATGCCAAATAGCAAGTAATCATATTCCTGTCCAAGGTTTCCTAGTGCAAGAGAAACTTTAATGTGAGCAACTAAATTGCTGCTGTGGTAAAGCAGGTTTTCTGCAGTACAAGGCATGTTACACAGTTGCAGTTTGAGTCATTCCAATCTAATAAAGTCCTTACATGCTTCTATCTGCTGTTCTGCAGTAGTGCGATAATGCAGAAAAGAGATAAATGGAACTAGGCAAATTGTTGCCCTCCTCTAGAGCCGAGCTCCAAGTCACAGTGTCAAGTTTTACCCAACACTCCATTTTCATTTTTTATATACAGTATCATAATGCCGACTTCTGTCCGTTAGAGACTATTACTTTTGGTAAGAAGAACAATGACAGATAAGGCATTTATAGTGTAGTCACCAATGTCCATGTCTTTAGCATCACAGAGTCTTGCATTTTCTACATTCTTTTCATGCCACAAGTGATCACTTCTACCATAGGTGAAACTCAAACCCCACATCTACTTTTACTATCTAGCATAAAGTTCATAAAGCCACCCAGAAGTTTTCGCCAGCACTCTAAGCAGCTAGGATTCTGGCTGACAATTAGGGAAGGAGACCAAGCTGGTAGAAGTAGAAAGACTTGTTTGTAAGCTCATCGGCTCATTACTCAGGGACTTTACAATAAATCCCAAGGCAGAAAAGACAGGAAGTCCCTATGATCAACATCCTGTCAAAAGCACCGATTAGTGACTGGATAATGTCATCACAAAGCAGAACAATGTCCTAGTATTGGAGTTTCCCCACCTAAGGGACTCCGAAAGTGTTTGGATTAACATAGTGAAGTCTAATTTCTACTGCTGCTATAGATGTAGCACAGTCTACAACAGACCTTTTAAACCTGATGTGAGCAGAAAGGTTTAGAATGCAACATTAACTCCGAACAATTTAAAAAAGCTAAAGCTGGAGATGACATCCGGCTGAAACTAAACAGATTTAGCAGAATAATTTCCATTTCAGATTTCCTGAAATTAAAGCAGAGAATAGATGGAAAGTGAGTCATCAGTTAGTGTCCTCCGCTCAGCCGAGCACAGGAAGAGAGCAACTCATTAGTATGAAGACTATACATCACAATGACCCGACAACATCTACCGAGGAAAAGGAGCACAACAATTGCTTTTCAGGAGATGCAAGTTACAGTCTGTGCAAATGAGTGAGGCAATATTACTCAAATCACTAAAGCACCAAAAAAAAAAAAAAAACACCAGGATATCCAATTTACAGCATTGTGCTTGTAAAAATACCGGAGAGATTTTTCCAGTGTTACCAGTATTCTAGGAAAACACCATTTAAAAAAAGGTGAGACAAATTAACGCAGTTCCACATTCACCAATAAACCAGTAACTGAAGTGCAGCTAGTGGAAATGCCCGAATTAATCTTCATATCTTGTAATCACCTAGACTGCAGCACTCAGACTGGGAACGGGAAGGGCAGGGCTGAGAGCCAATCAGGTGTGCTGTATGCAAATGTTGACATGACAAAGAACATGCCATATAGAAGAGCCAACCAAATGAATAGGGAGATGATCGCCACCTTCTACAGTCCATTCAGGAGACCGGGGTAGGACAGAGTACACATTCATTACTCCTTTAAAGAA